CCTGAGAGACAGAGATAACATGCCACAGTATCACTCAGAAGTTGAAAGTATTGGGTGGCACTCTGTTTCCTACAAAGAGAATAAATTTAGGAAACAAACCATCCAGTTATTACATTATAAAATAGAGGTCAGGAATATCCAGTTGGGACACCAAGCATTTAAAATTATTTCTTTTATTCTGATACTGCTTTTAGGCAGGTTTCTAAGCAGCCTGGCATAAATGTTTTCAGTTATGGAAATGTTTTTTCCTTCCAGTTGTCTAAACATAGTGGCAATGAGCATGTTTCATAACATTATTCTTAATATACATTTTTCTTTTTAAGTATGCACTGTATCTGTAGGCAGCTAATGAGTAACCTAGAGCTTATCCTATGCTATAATACAGAATGCATTTTTAGTCCATTTGGATCACAGTCTGTTGGGGATTTGAAGATTAGGGGACAGCCTTGGTGCATAGACTATGAGATGGTTAAATTCTGGATCTTGAGAGGAGGGAGACAGGCAAAAGCAAGGTCACAACCCTAAACTTCAGAAGAGCAGACTCTGACCTGTCAGGGATATGCTGAGAAGAAACCTAGGGGATACAATTTAGGAGAGAAGAGGGATCCAGGAGAGAGGTTTTATTTTCAAGGACTGTCTCCTCCAAGCTCAAGAAAGGTGACTTTCCTGAGAGTGAATCTTGAAGGACTTGTCATGGCTCTTATTGGGTCTAGATCCTCAGGATATATGCTTGGCACAACAGCTGGCATTGTTCTTCCCATTCTAAATGATGGGCCCATTCCTGGGTGTCTCCTCCCACAGGTCCCCACTGATCTAGCTGACTCCAGCTGATGTTCCAAAAAATAGCTCCTGAGGACTGAATGATGGTGAGCAGTTTCCGCCATGACTGGTTGTTGCTCTGGGTTGGGTCTGGGCCTTACTTTCACCAGGTGCAACTAAGCTGACAGTATATATGGAGAAGTCTGGCAAAAAAGCAAGGAAAGGTCCAGGCCTGCTGGCCTTTCACAAGTGCATGAGACCATCTTATAGTGTAATGTGACAATATCTGGGGAATATCTGGGGACTGTGACCTCAAAGCACTTAAGAGCTGAAAGGATGCCACAAAGGACTGTTTAAAAATATACTTGGCTAAGTGCTGACATATGGTGTCTAACTTGGTGTGAATTTTACCTTTCCAATATGTGGATGCAACTTTCTTCTTAAGTAGTATTACCGTCTAGCAGTTTGTCTGTTAAAACTGCATCATTTTTAGTAGGGCAGTTAAGTACTCTGGAATAGCAATAGCAATTTGTTAAGTGAGCAAAAGGCTCAAAAGGCTTTCTTTTTTTGACTGATGGTTCCATCCTACATAGCAAACAGCAAATGGCCCAAGGCTTTTTCATTTGTACTGAACCAAAATCTAATTGTGTGTCAGATGGCTTTTGTGACTATGACTCACTGAAGATAAAATTAAACTTCATCTCCAGATCAAAAGGATTACCCACAAAATTCTGCCAGAGGTTGTCAGGGTTCTTAAGTCAGATTTCACCCCATTCACTGGCTCAGGAGGCCCATTTCATCTTAGCCCAGGGCCTTCAGTCCCTGCCTCACTGATGTCTGGTCTCCACCCCTGCCATGGCTTGTGTTTCACCCTTACAGGAGGTTCTAACAGAAGAAAGGTTCCTAAATAAGTGATTATCACAAAAAGCAAAGCACAGGCTAGAAGTCACCCACCCACAAACCCAAAGTCCTAGTTTCTCTGAGCACAAGCTAGAAATATCTTAGGCAATGAGGAAGATAAAAGCTTGAACAATTTGTAACGTCATACTACAAGGTACGCATGAAAAAGAACATTATCTCTGCTGCAAATACTCGGGGAAATTTATTTCTCTCTGGGAATATCCTGGTATAAATCTGAATCTGTGATTTTATTGAAGCAATGTTAATTTATACTAGGAGACAATCAGTCCATTTATAACTGTTATAGGGGAGAAAATAACTTAAAATATTCAAAAGTAAACAGAAAGCATTAGGTACTTCCTTGATTTTCTAGCACTTGTAAAATGCTAATTAGAGAGAAGCAGTTAGTGATGGATCCAGTCTCATATTTGGAGTCAGGAAACCTCTGTAAAAACACATAAAATAAAAATATTATAGGAAACAGATGTATTGCCACACTTTGTATTCACAGGGAAAAGCAAATAGATGCAAGCAGACCAGCTGGGTCACTAACTTATTTAATTTACAACAACTGTTTCTTTCTTTCCTTGGAATGAAGGCCACTGTGTCTCTTAGCTTCTTCTTGCATCATTCAAACTTTATTTGGTATCACTATGCCAGATCCAACAACTTCTCTGCTAGGCTTGAATCTGCCTACAGCTGCTCCCAATTCTGGTCATGAATGACATGCTCAAAATGAAGACACCTTAACTCCCTCTTCTCTCACTAATTTTAACAAGAAGGAAAAAAAAAATAAATTGAGCCAGTATCTCCCATGCTTTTCTGAAACTTGGCCTTAGTCTGTTCCTGTTGTTGAGAAATTCCTACACAAATTAGGTAACATCCTTCATCTCTAATCTTAACTAGCTTCCTTGTTAACACCAAAAAAATTCAAAAAGGAAATAGGACTAAAAAGTAAAATCATCCTTAAACAAGGTTTTGACTGCCTTTGGATTTATTTTTTTATATTTTCTTCCCTTTTCTGTCACATTCACATAATGTACAGTTATTTATACCTATTTGGCAGCGAATCCGGATGGTGAAATTTTGTACACACTTTGTAATGTTGTGGATAAACAGGTAAAATTAAATAGGTATCTTCAGTACATTGAAGATTCAAGAGAATGAATCTGCTAGCCTCCTTGTCAAACTGCTTTCCATCCTTCAGTTGAGACTTTTCTTCTGTGTCTGGATTTGGTCCTTCTTGGAAACTGACAGATATCCATGTGGGGCTGTGTACTTCCCAATATTTTACCTCCTCTCTACCTCCCACTGACACCCTCAGCCCAATACTGATCACCTCAGGCTGGCTGGGGAACAGGGACAGGAGTTCCAAGGTTCTTGAATTGGATGATTATTGGACTTTCAGGTACACTTTTCTATTTTATTGTGTGTAGTTCAGCTTGCAGGACTGCACAGATGTGAAACTTCGCAAATACTTATGTAGGAAGTAGGCATATGCCTCTGCTTTCTTCTTCAGCACCTTCAGATTACATCTCTAGGCCTCCACTGTAGATCCACAGTTAGAAGCGATGGGAAAGAGCCCTCTGACATACTAGAAGGCTTTTTGAAGCATCTGTGGAACCTTCTGCGCAGTGGTACAGTCAGCACACTTCCCACAGACACAGAAAATTGATGCAATATCCTAGGCAACTTGGAGATATCTCTCTCCCTGTGCACATATATATGTATAGCTAGCTGTACATATATATCTATATCTATATATATCCAATTGATGCAACAACCACAAGGCCAACTTGCAGCAGGATATTACTTTTCAGAAAACTGACATGTAGCTCCTCCTTGAAAGTCTAATTTCAGTTTAAAACTATATCAAGGCTTCAGGAGGGCAGAACTTTTTTTTTTTTAATTTAGATTTTGATCTGACAAATTTAGATTTTGATTTTGACAGATGAGACATCAGATTACACAAAGCAGAACAGAAGCTGGGCACTGGCTTTGCATTTTCTAGGTCTTTACATGTAAGACTGAGGAGATCTGAACAATTCAGGGATCCAGCTTTTTAGGGAAGTAACAAGACAGCTTTAAAGAAATATGAAATCTGCTTTGCCAGTGCAAAGGTCCTGTTCTTGACATGAGGAAAGGTTCTTCTCCACAACACAGTAGTTTTTTTGCCTAGAGCAATGGCTATTATTTTAGTTCAGACCACCCATCATCACCACAAGACTTAAGGATTTACAAATTTAGGAGAGCAATAGCATAGAAAAGATAATACAGACCAAAAAATCCTGCAATAGTGGGACACTTTTGAGGAGCCTAAGCCAGGAAATAAAGTATAAAACAGGACAAAGCAAAAATTACACAACTGCAACAGCTGCTAATATAATCTGTTTTTGCTTTCTAGAGAATACTTTTTTGGAAAGCCCTAAAAGATAATGACTTCCCATTCAGCAAATACTTTAATGTTCTAATAATGGCTTTTGAAGCTGGTTTACACAAAAAATGTCTAATTCCCTATTTTACCCAAACTTCCCCTATGCTAACGAGTGACAGATTTTTCCAGTGAAATTTTTGGCCTAAATTCTTCTTAGGTTCTAAATCCCCAGGTCCCATAAGAAATGTGTCCAAACAGAGCTTTGAACCTGCTTTCTAAAACAGAAGAAGCACCATAGCCATCACCATTCTTCTTCGATTATGAATACATTGGAAATTTGATACAGGCTTACACACAGAGAATATGAAGTTAAAGGCAATTAAATATTATCTTAAAAATAAACACAATTCTTGGGTACTCTACATCTCATTTCCTCACAGGAATAACATGGGAGACTGTGCATTAATGAGACATGCAGCTACTTTAACAGATGTGTTTAACAGGTGTAAAGATTGTGTTCCTAAAACATGCTGAAGGAGCATTATTATTTGGCATTGATTTTAAGGATAAATAATGAACTAATGTACTAAATAATCTATGATGTACATGTTCTTATAGGAAGATACAGATAAATAAAGTTATCTAATGAAGAGCAGTCTACACACTGTGTTGGGATTTTACCTAAAGACTTCAATGAAAGCTACTGGAACTCTGCCACTAACTTCACTGGGCCCAAAGTATTACTCTCCTATTTCCCATTACTTTAAATCAGTATATATATTCCAGAGGGTCCTATCTGCTTGGAGTTTGCCTTAAAACGTCAGGAAATAAACTGGAGAAATCAACTGAATTAAGTCAAAACTGATTTGCCCACTCGTCTCATATTTCTGCAACTAGTCTGCTTCTTTATAGCTGAAAACAAAACTTTGTGTTTTGATGAGGCTGTGTAGTGAATCACAAAGACATAGCAATTTAAAGGGGTTTTTATTGTATTGCACAAGGTATTTATGCAATCCATGTAGGTACTGTATTGAAGGATCCACACTTTGCAAACATTGGCTGTTGCTGCACATACCACTAGCATTGTGAATAACGAGTGCCTTCTTCAAAAAGTAAAATAACCAGTTGCAAGTTTAAGCATGTTGTGGAAATAAATGAACAAAAAAGCAAGGGCTATTAATACATATTTCTCTTCAAACACACAAATATACAATTTTCAGAAGAGCACCAATAATGCCAAGCAAGTATTTTGATTAGATACTGTATGTGTAGGCTCTGCAGTAAAAAGCCAATATGCACACAGAAAATAGATATCAACTTTTAAAATAATTTAACCATAATATCTTGCATGTGTCACCTGTTTACAACACAACATTTCATATACAATGTCAGGCCCAAGCCTCAACGTGTGTAAATTCGTGCATATTCATTTAAAGCAGCTGAGATTCTCGACCAGGTTATTCAAGCTGAAAAAGCCTTCAAACTGTTCACATCTGAATTCAGAGTGGTAGTATAAGACTGAGAAAGTAGTTATGGTGAATTTATAACAGAAATGGTACTACAGAAAATGAAGAAAAACATTATAAACCCTTAAACACAAGGTTCTAGGAAGAGGCCTACATATAAAGTGATATTGTAATAATTTATATAAGTGAATAATTGGCATCAGTCTCCTTTCTGACATGAGATTCTCACATATTCAGAAGCCTGTAGAAGTGAACTAAGCAAATGTTACAATCAGTATAATCCTCAAACACTGTTTCTTAAGTTTCTGATCATTAATACTGGTACTTAAAAACATTTTATATTTGCTGAAACTGATTATTAAAGTTTACCTTCCTGATATGAGAATTTAGTATAATAAAAATCATGAAAAACAACAGGTAAAAAAATAGTATTTTAAGAATATTTTTAGAAAATTCATCATACAACGGCAAATACATTTGACTCTTAAGCATCTGCTTTTGAACTGTGGTCTTTTGTTTGTTTTTAAGTGAATCACTTAAAAAGAAGCAAGGCAGTACCAGTTCTAAGATTTATTCTTGTCCATTACATTGAGGACCTCATCCAAAAGTGAGGGCCCCAAGTCAAGTTGTAATGAGAGAAGAGAGCCTGCAAGATCTGAAAGGGATTCTTCTGACTTAGTCTTTGTCTTGGTTAGTTCACATGAAAGCTGACTGTCGTCTAGTAAATCAATTGTTTGCCAGTCAGTGCATCGTTCAGAAAAGCTGGATGAGTGACTGTCACTACTGTTAGTAGAATGTGAAGAAGAACCATTTTGCTCCCATATGTCATCTTTGTATGTTTCTTCATCCTCCATATCTTTATCTTTCTCCTGCAGTTTTTCTTCTATTACTGGCTCACAGCTAAGCCTAGGATTTCTGGATGACCTGATGGATTCTTGCTTTGAATTAAATGTCACTGGTGACAATAAAGGCAATGTAAGGGCTTGAGACCCCCCAATAGCAGGAAGGGAAATAGCATTTTTGAGCACTGGTGATGGAGTTTCTATAAACATGGATTCAGAAGTGCTGTTTGCCCTTAAGAATTCGTTGTGGATACCAGACTGGCTAACTCTGGTTTCACCTTCATTTCCAGGCAACAGCTCATAGTTGCCCTGTAAAAATGAGATGTCTCCAAAAACATCATGCTGTCCCTCTTTTCCAATGTGTATGGTGTGACGAAAATCTCCAAGTGGAGGACTGATCATATCAGGAGATAAAACATCCCTTAGTTTGAATTTCTTCCCTTTCTTATTGTTAGCAGCTTTCAAGTATATAGGTGTCTTGGCTGGCATCTTGCTTGTAGTTTCTGAGAGTAGTAGTTAAAAAAAAAAAAGGTTAGGAAAGGAGAAGCCTCTTACAAAGCCAGTTCTTCTCAGGAGACCTTCAGTGTTAGCAATGTTACATGATCATCTTGAACCACTCTTACACACAGAGTCTTATTCTTCTGATACAGAGAACTGTGGAGCATGTGAAGGTAAATGTCTCCCACATCAGCTCTTCTCAAGGTAGAGCATACGTTTTGGGGTCAGGTACCAACCAAATGCCCTGCTACTTCCTCAACTTGAGAAAACCTACATGGGATACAAAATCAGGTTATCATTAACTTATTTTTCATGGTTCATTCAGTCTTGTTTTTTACCAAACCCCAAAATTAGTAATGGCACTGACAGTTCCAGCCTGCAGAATAGCTTTATGATGTTGCTTCCCTTCATTAGGCAGGATAAAAGAGTTAAAATTAACAAGGGCTACCTAACCTTTCTCTGACCCCATAGCTTTTTTTGAAGTCAGACTTTTTAGACAGAATTTATTAAACAAATATCACTATCTCAGTCTTTCTTCTTATTGCAGCATCCAAATGCTGACCTTTAAGAGCACATGCAGAAACACATTTATAACATTCAACAACACTAAGCTTTTGGTAGATCCAGGAAGACTGAGTAATTTAGAAAACCATTTTGGATTTAGAGTACACTCCCTTGATTTAGATAACTGGGTAATCAGATTAGCTTTCAGATACTTCCAGTTAGTGCTGGAACACTCACAAACTGTAACCAAGAATGCTTCCATTAATTGTGCCCATTTAAACAGATAGTTTTAGGAACCAGAGAAAAGAGCTGTTCCATGTCCTTACAATTTGTTAGGAACATCCAAACGCACATGCTTTAGGAGATTGATTGTTTTGACTACATTCTTTAGGCTACATGAGTTCTTCATAGCAATTAGTTATAGATTAGCTCACAAATTATGCAGACCACAAGGTCACAGTGATTTAGAGTTGCTCTGTGCAACCAATTTTAAGTCTTTGCAAACCACGTTGTCCTACTAGAATGTGGTCTTTGAAAGGCCCGATAGAGTTAACAAGGGCTAACAGACTATTATGTCAGCAAGCTATTGAAAAACACTCTTTTTTAATACTTTAATGGTATATTTCTTCCTTACAGTGCCAGTTCCTAACCCTTGGACACTCTCAGAATTAATGCTTTTTTTTCTCCTGGACATTTTTGTACATTCTCCTATTAAGTCCATGCACCACAGATCACCCCCTCTCCTCAGAATACTCATCTGCAAATCCATCACCCTTTGTCCATCACCACCCCCACTCTACAAAGGGGATTACAGCTTTTACACATCAAGACTATTCTATACCATAGAGGAGGGAAGCTGGCTATTAGTAACAAGTGCTACTTCTGCTGCCTTTTACTCATGCCCTGGCAGGGTTTTTCCTTCACCAAATTAAGCCCAGTATACAAATCACCAGGTTTAAAACTTAGCACTGTACAGCTACACACCCAGGTTGTCAAGAAACATTTTAGCATTTTAACAAATCTTTTAACCACAGTAATTAGTTCCTACAGTTGGGTACTTTGCATCACAAGGGGAGCTGGGAGTCTAGCCAGGTCAGTGCTTTGTTTTTTTGATACCCACCAAGTAGTGGGTAGTAGTAGTGCATTTTGATAATGTTGAAGAGCCCTCCCCCACAAAGCATGTCAGATGTAAACAGGTTAAAGTTAAAATACAAAATAAGTGCAGTAATTTATGAGGGCATTTTATAGTTTCAAGATCAATTTTGAAAATACAATTGATTGTATCAATCAATTAAAAGCACTTTAAATCTTCCTTCTACACAACAAAAAGGTAATTAATTAGAATCTACAATATACTAGGAGATTCACATTACTCCATGACAGTAGTACAAGATACAAAAGTAACTCCTAAATAAGATCTCTACATGTGCCACCTGCAATGGGAACAGAGCTGATTAGACAAATCAGCCTTGCAGTTTTAAAATCTAAAAATCACTGTGTTGTTTCCCCCAGTTTATCACTCTGCCCAAGCGACCCATTTAACTAAACAAAATGTCCTCAACTCTACAGAGAAGACTATTATCAAAGATGAATGGAGAGGTTGTTTTACAGTTATCTAGTGGACTCAGCTCTCACTTTGTAGAAATAACAGGCCAAATTCTCTCTGATTTTAATTTCTCATTCTTTAGGGTCTTTTAATTTGGATAAATGACAATGCAATGACAATGTGGTCCAAAGACATGCCTGTTGGTCACTAGTTTAAAAATGAAAGACAAATGGTAGTTCATTCAAAGCTTTCATGGCTTCCACCACTTGGGATCTGTATCAAAAACCAATATCCCCAAACTCCACTGGGAGGTTTAAAAAAAACCTGAAGGACACAGTGAAACATCTGAATATCAGGAAATACTAAAAAGAAAATGTAAAATAACTCCTAGTATAAATAGGCCATTTTGACATACAAGAAAAGCACTGTATTTTATTTAGCTCAAAGCTTGGGGGAAAAACTACAAAAAACTCTGAAAGCAGCACAAACTTTTGGATATCCAAATCTCCTTATTTCTTGCACTACGGGAGAGCCCCAGTAAGGGGCAGTGTAAAACCACACTACCTGAGATGATGCTGCAAGAGACTCCACTATCAAGAATTATAAACCCCTCTATACAGCAGCCCTTTTTATTGTGAAGGCCTTGTCTTCCATTTGGCCAGTGCAAGAGGCTTCACATTTGAAGAGAAGAAATTTCACAATTACATACTTAGTGCAAGCACCATTTTCTCTGCTGAAAACAAAGGCTACTGTTACTGCAGATTTCAGTACCCACAGTATTGGAAATCTGCAAACTACACCTTTGAAATAAAAGAAAAGGGCTCCCTTTTCAATGGACAGGCCTTCCATGTACAACATAACAAAGCTTCAGAGCAATTTTGTTTCTGCATACCTATCCTCTTTGTCAGCTACTGCCTAAAGGAGCACAGATTTTTAGCTACTTCAAACAAATAAATCTGGAAATATTCACTAAGTCTACAATACTATTATTATTCATACTTAATTTACAATTAAATAAGGAAGAACCCATATACCATATAAACAGTTAACATATAGCATAAATATATATATATATATACACACATACACATGCATATATATATAGTTTTTATAATTAAAAAAATTATAAATCAAACTTTGGCAAATGAAGAAAAACCTAGCAAGACTAAAGCTTCCAGCTCAAAGCTCAAATCCTAGAAGACAAAAAAATTAGTCCACAAAATTTTCACAAGTATGTTAGCACCTTAACACACTCCCTACACTCAACAAGATTTAATGGAATCAATCTCAAGTGCACATGGGCTAAGAGAAGGGACACAACACAATGCAATCTTGATATCAGGCTACACAATAAATTTCTCCTTGTCTTAAAATGAGACCTTTTTCAGATCTTACTGCTAAAAGAGTCTCTTGTTTTGACTAATTTCAGCTCAGTAACTAAGTGGTTGTATAGCTAAATTGGAAAGCTGAATGAGAAATTATCAGAAAACCAGAAGTCTGCAATCCTGGACTGCCAGCCTACAGTGGAAGACCTTAATTTAAGGGAAAAACAACATGAAAGGATTTTCATTCCAGTTGAAAAGATACCCCCTTCTCCTAACAAGATTCAGGTATCAGCCAAACCAGAGGAATTCCAGCCCAGTGAAAATTAAAGTTTTCGTTTGGCTGTAGTGCTTGCTCATTTTCATTCCTATCACTTCACACTCTCATATAAGTATTTTGCTTGGTAACAAAGACTAATATTTTTAGAGGTGCTTCTCAATCCGCCTTCTGTCCACTCAGCAATCATCACCTTCCACACAGCTCAAAGTTTTCCATGGATGCCTTAGCTTATTCCATGGTCCATTTTAAAAAGATAGACTATCAGCAAATATCTCAACAGCTAAGCTTGCAAAGCCAGAGACAAATAAGGGTCAAAGTGCAAACTTTTATTTGTGCACACATCCCAGGAGATCTAGATTCTTTAACAAAGAAATTAAAGAAAGAAAACCACATTTCCACAGAGCAGAGCCAGAAGCAACTGTGTATGCTGGGAAGCCTACGGGCTTTCTACAGGGCAACCCTTTGCAAAAGCTTTGCCTTACACATCACTGACTAGAAGCATGTGAAACTTGGAGAAAGGCCTTTCCAAAGCATAATTTAAAATATACTTGTGGAGCAAGTCAGTAAGAGAAAACCGAGTATGTACATTATCTAAATATCCAAATGAAAGCACAGTAACATAGCAAAAGACAGACACAAACTAGGCAACAAGCAGCTGCAATTTTCTACGTGATGAAGAATCCACAAGCATAGTAGAATTAGACTTTAGGGTTTCATTTTAGGTTTTAGCTATCAGTAGCTTTTAGCAGTACAAACAAACTCTTAAGAACATCCTGGTCAATGCTGTTACTTTCACTATGTCTGAAACAGCATCAAGTGTAAAATACATTTTTACTGGTTTTCTAATGGGCCTGAAGTCATGGAGTCACAATTCCTGAATGCTAGTGAAATGCACTCTCAGTTAACAAAGTCATCAGGTACAAGAAAAGCAAGAGATGATGCACCACAGAGCTTACCTCTCGTGTTTCTGGATACTCCTTATCAACCATCAGTCCCTGAAGACAAGAGGCCACAAGTCTGTCCACTTATAAAGCCACTACCCTCTAAACGGCTTAAACCATATCAGGTGCGGACATTTCTCCCTCTAGACTGTTTATCTAAATTTACATTGTTTATAAGAGGCACAGCCTTTGAATTCATCTGTATTAAAGTCAACTTCCCTTGATCAGGTTAGAAGTCCTTGTCTCCTTTCCTTCTCCTTTCATCAAAGAATTGGCACCTTCCTGATTAAAGCTATAGATTTAATTACTTTATAAAAACAATCAGGCTAAACGCACTTCAGTTTAACTAAATTTCTCAGCTGCAGTCAGCTGACTCTCCTGGATCAAGGCTTACCTATTTCATTGTGTTACCACATACACTATTTAGAAAATGAAGGGAAAAAAATCCCAAATCATTCCTACAGCTACAGAAGCACAGGTCAAGAGAGGACCTGACTCTATCGTGCTGTTGATTCATTTCTACATTACCCTGAAAAGACAGAGATGCCATGTGCTAGCTGTGAAGATGTTTGTCCATCCTTCTCTTAAAATTCCCCATACATGCAGACTACATCCATTCATTTACTTCACAGAGGTCATTTATCAGAGAATTGAACCTAAAGTATTCCCTGTTCCAATCCAGGTCCTGATTAATAGAATAAATTATTTTATCTATTCTAGCTGTGGAGAAATAAAATATTAAAAAAGCAAAAAATCACATAGGGATATATTTTTACTTCCCTTGTTATAAAACAGTTTTTTCCACATAAATCAAAGACAGATAGTACACCAGCTGTGAGTTGTCCACCTGAAGAAGGGTTAATTGCCATTAAGTGTAAGCACAGACAGGGACAGGCTGCATACAGTGTCTTTCTCTCCAGGTATCTTCCATTTCTCCAGCACCCTCCTGTTTTTTCCCCCTTCCTAAAATGTAGATTCATAAACAAAGGAAAAACAAGTTCTTGATTTTTAATTATTGACTCCTTTAACTCTTGCCATCCTGCTTAGCAGTCTTTCAAACGTCGTGTAAATCATGTTAACCAAACCAGGGAACACTTTCAACTAATTTTAAACCATTAAAGTATTCATATATTATAGGGAAATTAATGAAGTAATTAATCGATTTAACAGTTTTTATTTTAGCTTGTAAGAAAAAGAAACTAAGGAGAGCAAACCTGATTTGAGGGGAAGAAAAAAACAAGAGGTTTAATTTGAACAACTGGCCTCTGTCTCCAGGTATTATTTTGTTCTTTAGCAGTCTGAGATTACAAATGCCCTTTATAAACCAGAAACCTTCATCCTTGTTAAGGTACTTGAACACTAACTGTTATAAATGAGAATTTATTCAGCCAGATTAAAAATAAAAATCATTTTATTTGCGGTCAAATTCTATCTAGTCAGCCACACGGAAAGGACAGAGCCAAGCCCGGGGTTGACCCTGGGTGTGCAACAAGGAGTCAGCCTCAGCAGAGGTTTTCTCCTATGCCCACACACCTCCATCCTGGCACAAGCGGTTTTTATAGGGAAAATTCCGCCTGAGGCCAAGATTTGAGCAGTTAGTCTTTTCTTCTATTCAGTCTATAGGTTAATAAAATTTTCTTTTTTTGGTGATGAGGAGAAATAATTCAATGTCCTGAGTAGTTGAATTCTTGATGAGAGTTTACAGGAAGGCTGCATTCACATGGATCTGTCTGAGGATTTCCATGATATCCATCTTGGACGATCAGCACTGATGATCGTGATGATCAACACCTGGAGCCCAGACATGGCCCATCTCCCGGCCAAGCCACATCCTTTTACTTGTAAATCAGTTTCTAATATACATCCAGTCTCGCCTGTAAAGGGGGGGGGGAACTAATACGACGGGCATGATTTAACAAATATCCAATATTACATATTTCATACGAGGAATGGCGCAAATTATATTTATTACACATAACACTAACCAAGCTGTTTCTCAGTCATCCTTTTTGAGCAAATTGAACAGGGGGAATTCCTCATGTGATGTTAGTGACGGGAATAATTTTAAATCTTCTAGTGTCTTTCCCTCTCTCTCTTTTGAACCACCTTGTTGTGGATGATAGATAAATATAATTGCTCATAAATAATACAGCTAGGATGAGAACAGTTCTCCCAGCTAGCCGGATGACACCCCTGCCTTTCGATGAGTCCTGGGGTGAAATGGACTGTTCCATCCCACCCCCCAAAAGATGTATGGTTCACCCCGCACCTCTATCCCTCCCTTGGGACATCAAGTGTCTGTAACCCGATTGGCCATGCCTTATTCCAACCTACCTCGAAGCCCCTTTATAAGGAGGTTTCGAGGGGCCACCTGGTCTCTTGGAACTTCCTCCCCTCTTGGAACTCCCTCCCCTCTCTTGGAGCTTCCCCTCTCCTGGAGCATCCTTCTGTCTCTCCCCTCCCCACCCTCTCAGGCTCGGCCACGTGCTGTGCCTGGGAGCACGAGGCAGAACCTTCTGCACCCCCAATAAACCTCTTTCCTCAAGAGCAAACTTCAGAGATCTCTGCCTCCATTCATCTACACCGTGCTGGAGCCTGCTATTTTCTACACCACCTCAAATTTTTCAACATTGTTTTCCAAACAGATCATTATTAGTGACAATATTTCAATATAATCCTCCCTAACAACATATACGAAAATAAAAATCACTTCTTTCTTCCCATCACCACTGCCTTATTTATAAACGAGATCATGCTTCTGCTCTTATTGTCATCCGCTTACAACAGGAATTTTACTCTATTTACTTGGTAGAATTGTATTACAAACCATTCAAGAATTCTTGTGCTGGGATAACACAAACAAGTTCTCCAAGCAGAATAAACTATACCGAAAAAAGAATAATTCGTTATTCTTGCCTTTTATTGGTTCAGAGTAGGCATCTTCATTTTATTTCTTTTTAAGATCAATATACAAATATATTAATTTAATCAACAAAATTTGGCAGCACAGCCAGTGGCGGTGCTCATATTATGCTGTTTGTCCAGTAAGAATCTACTCCTGTCCTTAGGGGGAGGAAAACTAAAAATCTTTCCAAATTATCATTCTCCAGCAAATAAACTGGATTTACATTCTATAGGATAAAAAGCAATGCCATACTTCAGAAAGAGAAACATTTTATTTCAATGTGCTCAAGCTGTGAATCTATAAATTAGTTGACCTTTCGCCATCTCCCTCACTTCTTCACCAATATCCACCACCTGCAAATTTGGGCTGCAACAATTTTTTACTTATTTGCAATTTGCTCATAAAAATACTATGCAACCCATACTGTATAGATCTCTGCACTGTATCAATAGAAATACATCCCTCTCTGATGCTGACTTATTTTTGACATGTACTCTGAGATTCTAAATGTTTTTAATACATGCTTTGTTAACACTGTAGAAGACTAACGTTTTAAAAATCTGGTTGTGATGCAATAAGAAAATAAATGCCTTACACAGTCTGTTTTTCCAACTGTTCTTATGACCACTCATTAGAATATTTTAAATAGCTCTTTTTTATCAAGCTTTTTTTTTTACCTTTCAACAGGTTTGAATTACAGCTTGCCTTCAGCTTTGCAAAGTTAGCATATTTTCTAGAACAATAAAAACCTTCCTTTTTCTCTCCTCCAGAGACAGGGATTTAATGAGCTCACTGTATTTGTGTTTAGCTTCATGAAGTGAAACAGGTCCCTCTTTACTACCTTCTCCCTAGCTTTGTTGGCTGGTACATTCATACATATGTTCAATACCATATAGTTCATTGGCTTCCAAAAACTGGATGAGCACAAGCCCATGCAGATTTAGGCAGAGGTGAACGTCAGTACAAGGTGCAGCCCATCTCGTTAACTAATGCAACCAGCCACGGTGAGGTTATGTTGCGTCAAGCAGACTGCACGCTGAAGCACAGTCACACATCTCCTCCTATAAAGTCACACACCAGATGAGAAAATAGCTGGGTACCATAAACCCATAAGCCACAAGATGGACAGGCTTAAAAACTTGTCCATCGATTCTCTTCAGCCATAGGGAAAAACATGAAATGGGACAAAAAAATAACCCCTACAACCTGAGCCAATGTCCCACCTAAAAGCCTGGCAAACTGCTCTGGTTGAAATCTCAACTGTCCCCTGTGATGTCAGCCAGCACTCAGATCAGTGTATATGGATTAGGAATCCACACTCCACACCCTTTGTGATTCTAAGAAGGTTAGCATAGATGGCTTTCTCTTTTGACACAGAGGGTGTAATTCCCCAGCCAAACTCTGCTCTCAAAGCCGGTTTAAGAAGTTCCCACCTTGGATTCCTCACTCCTCATTGCTGGTTCCTGGTTCTGCACTGCAAGTTCCTTGTACCCTTGGCAGGCAGACGGACCTACAAGTCACACTTCAAACGGGCCACAGCCGCAGTTCTCTCCACTGACTCAGTTTACAGGACAGGCTTAGCAATAGCTGCAGCTGTCCAATGCCAGTGCTTCAAGAGAGTTCAAGCCCAATATAACTTGCTGTCAGAAAGGCATTCTCTCCTTCCCCCCTACTGTGTGCACACACTTGACCCCTTACAGGCCAGTTCAGCACACAACAAGGTGAAAACTAACTAGGGAAGGGGTCTAAAATCACAAAGCTTGGCATGAGACTGCGACTCTCTGCTGTAAAAAAGTCCTTTCAATAGCTAACCTATCTCTTGAGACATCACTCTTAGAAAGCAAGGAGTTGTGGCAGAAGGGTTGGGCAATCCTTAACCATCTCTTCTGCAATGAAAAATGTCCATGGAATTACATCCAGACTTTTATGCACTCCTGATGCAAAATGGTTTTGTAGCTCCACTTGTTTCTGCCTTAGGGTTCCCAAGACTGCTGTCATACTGAAATTAAGTTTTTCTAACTTTATTTAATATATTCATACTATTTTTGTAAAAGACCCTTAGTTTAAAATTTCTGTTATTGATAGCTACTTGCAAAGGCAATCTAAAATATGAGGATCCTGCAAGGTTTCAAGAAAAAAAAAAACCCAACCACCAAACCCAAAAATCCCTACCCTGAACACCTGACCTCCAATTCTCAAATATGCTTCATCTCTAAGTCAAATACTCCTTATCATCTCCTTAAAACACACAAGTGACATAGGCATATCACAATCATTAGTTCTATTATTCATTTTTCAGAGTGTTTAAATAAGTATTGACCATCTTTAAGTGGCTGATAAACTAGTTTTAAAACAAACTTGAAAGCCAGAGAGCCCTCTATAAGCAAAGACTAACAAGGAGGTAGAGATATATAGATACAGAAAAATCTAAAGTTGCACAGGACTTATTTTTTTTTTATTACATAGAAGAAGGATGAATCTTGTGCTCTGTTGCAGTTCTGCCTCTGTCAGAGAGTTGAACGGTCATCAAGATGAGAGCAAAGTTGATGGCGTTGGGGTGGATAGAAGAAACGAAACACTTCAATAGATTTTAAAAAATCCTCACTGAATTACTTTTTGGTCCAACTCATGCCCTCTTTAAAAAATGAGGCTGAAATCCCAGAGTAAATAGGGCTTCTAAAATTTTGTTATCTATGTTCAGTTTCAAGTGTATTGTTAGTACAGCTAAAGTAACTGGTTTATCACCCTTACATGACACAAAAGGGAAAACCCAGAAATTACATCTTTATGGTGAGTTTATACTTTACTTCTAATAGAACAATGCCACTATTTGAAGGCACCATTTGAGCAGAGCTAAGAATCTGGAAAAATAAGTGACAACTGGAAGACATGTCATATTCTGGTGCTGCTCTGCAGCCTGTCAGTGACACCTGCAACATGCCCCAGCTGAGAGGGATGCACCACGCTGGACAGCAGCACAGGAGTCCCCACTTCCTCCCAAGACCTGTGGTTCTCATACCTTTAGTTGCTCGTACTCAACTGATCAGACTTCTTTTTT